AAGAGAGAGATCCCATCTCTTTAAAAATAAAATAATTAGCCAGGTGTTGTGGTGGACCCCCATAGTCCCAGCTACTCAGAAGGCTAAGGCAGGAGGATTGCTTAAACCCAGGAGTGTGACGTTGCTGTGAGCAAGGCTGATACTATAGCACTATAGTCCTGGTGACAGAGTGAGACTGTGTCTCAAAAAAAAAAAAAAAGAGAGAAAGAAAAATTTGATTTGGAGACTAAACACTTTGCCTTTGTTCCGTACTGGTTACTCCTCCTAGGTTGTGTCACTTGCTTCAGGTAAGAGATACAGCTGTGGACTAAGCTAAATGAAAATTCTGAGTAAAATGATCTGCTCTGCAACAACTCACACCACCTAAAACAACAACACGGAAAGTAATGATCTGTGATATTTAATTTTCTCCCAACTTCTATTTTTGTAAACTTTGCTTTTAAAGAAGCCATTTGTGTTTTTGAGATGTTGACTGAGAACTATCTAATCTTCTTAAATATTTCTAAAAAGGCATACATTAAGTATTTTGTACCAAAAAAGGAGGAGCCGATTAATTCTATTTAGATATTCTTCCTCCCACGGGTTAAAGTCATAGCACTTTCTCCTCCTAGATTGGTTAAAAATTACTGTTATCTGACACGAGGTTCTTTATCTATTCATATCATCTTTTCTCCTGCTCTGGCTTGAGAATTGACTGACAGTTGAGGAGAAACCTTTCCCCTTATATTGGGTGCTCACTTTGGTAGCCTGGAATCAAAATAATCTCCTTTTTTTCTATGTTAGGCTCTGTAAGTTTGCCTGTTCATAACCCTTTCATAAGGACAAGGTAGAAGACGGATAAGTGAATGTCACAGAAATTAAAGATGAAAATAATAAGAAGGCAGCTATTTAATTAATGTGTGCATCCATTCAGATACCTGTGTCTTTATTATGTACTCAGCACGGTTGCTGGGCAAAGTACATAATATAAATAATTAGATTTATTTGATAATGATAATTATCAAAACAATTATCATAATGATAAACGTGGTGCCTACTCTCAGGGATTTGCAGTCTGGTAGAGGAGATGAGAAATTCATGCAAGTAACTACAGCAGAATGAGAAAACAAGTGTCACAAGAGAGTTAGAAGTATTGACATCTAGAAGAGAAACAACTTATTTCTCCATGGCATTAGTGTTTAGTAGGCAAGACTAAGGAATATTTGGACTCAGGACTAAAGGATACCCTCACTCCTCACCATCACCTCCAGCCCCAGTGTCATTCCAACTACCACCAGAAAATTTTAATTTACCATTGAACATCTCTACTTAATTCTCTTATCCAGATTTCAAAATCACCATGTCCAAAATCAAACCTCATTTTTCTCCCTAAACTATCTCTTCCTAGCCTTCCTTACGTCTAGTTAGAAGACATTTTTCTATTTCTACAATTCTTACAACCTCATCTCTACATTTTGGCTAACTTTGCCCACATTTCCAGTCAATATATGTCAAATCACACATTTTCTTCTTCCTTAAAACTCTCCAGATTCTTTTTTTTTTTCATTTTATTGATAGACTCTCAGACTTGAAATGACATTTGAACTAGTTTAATTTTTCTCTCTCCTAGACTAATCCTCTTTAGACTATAAAGTCTAATCTATATTCTGCTGAAAGATTAATCCTCCCAATTTATAGCCCCAATCATATAATTCCCGCACTCAAACACATTCATAGACTCAAACTAATTAACTACATGAGTCGATATTTCTCATCCTGGTGTTCAATATCTTCTGAGGAAGCATTCCAAACTTATTTCCAAGTACTTAACTATGCCCAACCTGAGGCCCCTTTTCATTTCTAGACTAGAATGTACTGATGTTTCTGTGTTATAGTTCAAGAAATGTTAGTCATCTGGACCTTCTAATTTTCAATTTTCAAAGCATCATAATTTTCACTTTTATCTAAAGACTTTCCTGATGTCTTTACAGCCCAAGCCAAGCTAGTTGTGAATTCTCCATGTAATGCTTTATTGGCCTCTTAAGGTCTACTGTATAATCAAATTTATGATTAGTTGGCTTATCCTCCTCTCTCTCCCACTTCTAGAGTGGGGACTGAGTTTTACTGATCTCTGTAAACCTACAATATTTAGCACAGTGTCTGCTTATAATATGTTCAATCGATATTTTTTCATGACATTGAATGTACAATCACTAACATGAACTTCTCCAAGCAATTAAATCCTTCATCAGATGCCGATAAAAAGGCAGTGTTTGTTCCTGCCTGGAAATACCTAAAACATTTTAATCTGTCCTAAATTAACACAAGGTTCAAAAGCCAAATGGCACTATAAGAGTAAATACATATTATTCCCAGGGCTTCCTTCTTCTTAGATTCCTCTTAGTTAAGTTCTCTCAGTCCTGACAGTCAAAAGCTCAAAAGTTCATCCATTGATCTAGACTTAAAAGCCAAAGGGGCTTAAAAGCCACGGTAGGGTTCTGTTCAGTTTTAAACACAATTTAGAAACCTTAGGAAAGAATGACAGTTCCCTTTCAAGAAACTCCCATACATATTTCAACAGAACAGCTTTCCAAATGGGAGACTGTAAAATATTATACCACCAGCCAAGTAATAAAAGTCACTCCCTGCCATGTGGAAAGATTTCCTTGATTTTCACAAAGAGCATAAAAGACTATATTGTATTTATTTAAATCTGAGACTGACAAGACCATCAAGAAAAAAAGAAAAGTAGTCAATTTCTCTAAAAGATCATTATTAAGAAATAAATTACCATGCAAAAAAAGCATATATCTGTTTGACAGCTTGTGAATTTAAAGCAGATGAAATGCCTCCCTCCTCACCTTCAGTAAACAACTCTACTGCCAAAATATGTTAATCACTCTGAGTTTGGGGAACATACAAAGCTCTGAAATCAATGTATTTCTGGGACAGTGGGTTAAGGAAAGAACGTACTAAATCAGCTTAGGAAACGCTTCATTTCCTGTGCCCAGTCTGCAAAGGAAAACAAACTAGGCAGACCCAGGTGCGAGAAACTCATTCATACGGGTGGGAAAAATCTCTTAGCTTTCAGTTCCTTCCACTGCACTAATCAGATGGTCAGTTTGTGCTCTTAAGGTATAGCTTTCTTTTCTAAGATAAATGCAGTAGTGTTTTTGTTTTCTTTTCTTCTTTTTTCTTTTTTTAAGAAGATATTGGCCTTAATACATTAGGCTTCTGGCAGAGCTTCAAGGAGATAGTTATTATATAATTATTATCTCTGCTCAAATGAGAAATACATTCTATATGGATAATTAACAGTTCATTAGAATGATCGCACTTAACGGGTTGGCTTGCTCCCAGTGGGCTAATGAGGTTAGTCTTTTCCCCAAATGACCACAGAGAACCAGCAAGGCCGTCTCTGGGCACCCTTCCCTCTCATGTCTTCCTTATGGCAGGGTTTTGCAGGCTACCTCTATTGATCCTGGTCCACCTGATTTTCAGAAAGATGTATAATCCATTCAGAGTTTAATGGTGATGGCCAGGAAGTGTTCTCACTGATGCCTGCAGACTAGAAACAGCAAGAAGACTGTCAGAGACTTTCAGACTTGGGCTAATCGGAAGTGTACCTGTGAGCTGCATGTTTCCAGGCACTGGGATTCCTAGTCCTCTTCCCTGTACATGCTGAACAGACATTTCTAAGCTAGTGCATTGATTTCTGTGGCATCTCATAAACATCATTTATTTAAAAAAAATCAGATTCTAGTAACTCTTCCAAGTTAAAATTGCAGCTTTGATACCTGCTGCAACTTAACCCTAGAAAATCCGAAAGTGCCTGGTAATCAAGTGTATGTGATATTGAAGTATTTTGGAATTTGTACTAAATTTACATGGATCTTCTGAGAAATTGCTGATAAAATGTTGTTTTAGGAGGGGTGGACTCATTTCTTCTCATATTATCACTGTAAATTAGAATTTTGTAGGTAGTCGGCTTTTGAAAAAAGAATAAGCAAAATAAAATTAGAACTGAGTTGATTTTTTCCCCCAAAGCCCCTCAGCAGAATCAATCTTTCCCAAATGTGCTCTTCTATGGTAATTCGTTCTTCAGTTTCACACTTACTAAATCTGTCTGGTATTAGAATCACATGCTAATTTCTTCTAATAGCACATTTTACTGCAGGCAAGGACAACATCTCATTCATTTTTATATTTTTTTGCCCTGCCAGTACAGAGGAAAAGCACAATAAATATCAAGTAAGTTTAATTTCTTATTTTGAATCAGACAGAAAGGATTAAAAATTAAATGTAAGTCATTTCGCAAAGCTGTTCATTAACATAGTCAGGGTTTATATAGGGACGTATGCATTATTTATCTGAGTTTCTTAACCTGCAGCCAGAGGGTAGGGCTTTGAATTCCTGAAACGTTATGTAAAATGTATGTTTATGTTTAGATTGCGTGTATTCTACAGCGAAAGTCTGCAAACTCTAAGCAAGTGACTCTCCCCCTATTCATCCCACCCCTTCAAGACACTGAGACTCATTTCCCTGGGTAGCTTTACTTAACCTCTTAATCTACTAGAGCTCAAGGATAGTTGAGATAAATACAGGCTAGCATTTGCAATAAGTATTTCCAATCACATCCTTTCTCCTATTTATGACAAACTTGTATTTTCTTATATTTACATCTCAAGAATATATTTTTGAGAAAGAGCACATTTTTAACCAGCATTTTAGCCTCAGAATTTTATTCTCTAAAAAAGGCATTGTATATTCTAGTCCTTTTGTAATTCCATCAAACCATCTTGGAGGCTGCCCACCCCCAAACGTTTCCTTTCAGTGGAAGCAAACGTCTCTCTCCCACGCCTTCTCAACACGCCCCAAGTCAACAGGCAAACATTCAATTCAGCCAATGATTTGCTGCGTGGGAGTTTCAGGTGAAGTTTCCCTGAGGGTAAACTGAGGCTAAAAGCGCCACAGTAGTGATTTCTAAGCCACATCACCAGCAGAGTAAGAGAAAATGGTACCTTCATTCTCTTCACCGCTGCAAAGACTGGACAGAAGGAGGAAAAGCACGGTGACTTTCAGCCGTTCCATGGCGCCCTGCGAGCCTCTCAGTGGCTTCTCTCTCTGGAGTCAAGCAGGGACAACTCTGTCCCAGCCTGGCAAGGCCTTGTTAGCGAATGGAAAAGGTATACTGAATGCAAACGGCCACTGCCCATTCCTACTTATTTTGGGGGCTCTGATAAAGAACGGGAGGAAATACATACACTCCCTTTGGGAGTTCAGCAGAGAGGAGATTTATTGTTTCAGTCCCTTACAGGAACTCTTTTTTTTTTCTCTCTCTTCCTTTGGCAGCCACTTATGTTTTTGTTACTACATTATTTTGTTCTTCTTTAACAGAAAGGTCAGGATGGGTTTTGAACAGAAACAGATCCTTCTTGAGAACGGATTATAGGGCCTTCTAACTTTTGTTTTGAAAGTGAGTTTTGAAGTGGCCTTACAGGGGCCCTATTAAGCAGCTACTCAGTTCAGATAAAGAGGCTTTAACTGCCCAAGAGTTAAATTTTACAGTAAAATCCAAAAGGAATCAACTTTTCTTCTCTCTTTCCAACTTGAAAGCCAGATTATTAAAGAACACCTTCTGGACACAAGTACAAAATCTTATTAAATAGATTATGTTCTGATTTTGACTCAGCAAAGACTTCTTAAGGATGTCCAGAGAAGATTTTCAGGATATTTGCAATAGAATTGAGCAAAGACATGTGAATATGCATTCCTCGTTCCTGGTTTTTATTAATGCTTGATAAAGAATAAGAAAAAAAAATGCTTACACACTACATCATAGGTGTTCTTCTCTAGGACACAGGATTGCAATGGCACTGGGAAAGAATGTCAGATTAGTGAGGTTGGGAGGATTGATTCTTTAGAACAGGAATGCCAGCCAGACAGATAATCCATATATCAGGAGTCGCTTTGATGTCAGTGGTGATTAATTAAAACATGGTGCTAACACTGCCACAACCCTGGACTCAACCCTTGTGTGTGCCAGTAACTGTATACTTTTCCTCAGCCACAGACTTCACATCTAATTTTAGCCAATCATCTTTTCATGTACCTTTAGGAATGAGACCTGCTAGACAACAGCATCGAATGATCGGTGTAGATTGATTGATCTGCCTCACCACGAAAACTACTAAAAAATTATACTTTGATCTATTTACAAGGAGGGAACACATTTCACTCCTGCACTATGCTGGGAAAAACTCCATACAAGAGAGCTTAGAGCAACTGTTCTAAATACCGAAAGACACTAGCTTGTTTTACCCAAAGTTATACCTAGGTTCCGAAGTCCTAAGTTTCTATTTTGTGTGCAAGGAAGACCAAATCACCCTCTTCTAATTGACTTTCTAAAACAGATAGCCTTTGTGTTTGGACCTTATTTGGTGTATCCTGGAGAATATAACGACAGCAATATATGTGAACAGATGTCACATGTACTTTCCTGAAATAAACTAGGGTGTGGCTATGTGAAATCACAGTCCAGCACTCACATTGCCTCACTTCCTGCTTTCTGTGGCTTTTTAACTTAGAGTCATTGGCTATGGGGTCATGAGCTACACTGGCCACGTTCACTTCTATGAAGATTCAATAGCATTTGGATTCCCCAGCACTGACTGCTATGTATTTCCATGAAGTAGACTGGATACATATTCTAAAAATACTTCACAATAGAATACCAAGGCTGTGTAAAAGACGGAAGATCTTAGATATTCAAAAAAGAAAGAAAACAACAACTAAGAAAATGCATCTTAATACAGCATCTTAAAAAAAATAGAAAAAAGGAAAAGAAGACTAATATTGAGGATCAGCTTTGCCTTTCTAAATCAGAAGGTATTTTTAACTAAAACAGTGATGATTGCCAGAAAAGACAGATAGGTGAATGACGTAGTATAAAATGTACAGACACAGAAATTTATCTATCACTGTCTAAATATATATTTGTATGTGTGCACATAAACATATTTGTGTACACATGTGCTTGTGTGTACATGTGTGTGGAGAGATTAGATATAGGCAAGTTTAACATATTAATGATATGAGGAGAGCATATCATTAATAAATTGTTTTTTGTATAATTTGATAACCACCTAAAAAATTTAAAGTTAGGTCTCTATTTTACTTCAAATACCAAAACAAAATTCTTATATGTTTAAGATTTCAATGTAAAAGACAAAAATCACAAAATGTCATGGCAAAATATTGGTTTTGGTGACTATATGTGACTGGGGTGAAGAAGACATTTTATGCATGACATAGGCAAGGCAATGCACGTAAAAGAAAGACTTGATGCATTTGCTTATATAAAAACTAAGAGAGTTGTGGCCTCACATACCATACCATAAGATTAAAAGGCAAATAAAAATGTTTATAATTTTTTTTAATGTACATGATATTTTACTCTAAACATTTTATCTTAAACATCTTCTGATTTAGGAAACATGATGACAACTAAAAAATAGGCATAAGGATATAAAAGGAGATGGAAGGCCAACAAAATGCACAAAATATATTCCTGTCACTGGAAATCAAAGAAATAAGTATTCAAATGTGGTACAGCATATTTTGTCTTTCAAATATAATTAGGTATATTCTCTGACAATACCCACTGTTGATGAATGTTCAAAGAAAGTTACTATCTCATTCTTGGGTTACGTGACTTGGCAATATACATCGAACTCTTAGAGAGCCATAATTTTCGAACTTAAGATTATATGTTTAGGAACTTAGCCACACATAGAAGACTGAACCTGAACCTGAACCTCTCACCACTTATGAAAATTGACTCTAGCTGGATAAAAGATTTAAATTTAAGACATGAAACAGTAAAAATTCTAGACAGAAGTGTGGGGAAAACTCTTGATGCTGTTGGCCTGGGAAAAGAATTTATGAAAACCCCCTTGGCAATTGCAGCAATACCAAAAACAAATAAATGAGTCATTGTCAGGATCTGACACCACTTGTCAGGGCCCAGGACTGGTCCAGCTTAGGTAGGTTACGGATGTGGACCGCTAAGCTAACTTGCTCAGGAACAGTTTCTGTAGGGTGCTTGAGGGCTATCTACTTTAGCTGGAGAGAGAGAGAGTGTGTGTCTTAGAGAGAGTGAAGCAGTCTTCTTTGAACAGATAGATCTTAGTCTTTGGCAGAGCTTGGTAATCTTCAGCAGAGAGACGCCGTGCTGGCGTTCTGCAGGCAGAAGAGGAGACAGAGTCAGAGTAAGCGAGTCCGTGATAAAATGCGCATGCTTCTTGACTGCCTTCTCCTTTAGCCTAACATAAGGCTGAGCTCATGCCTCTCAACACCATAGGTGTAGAGACTGCCAATTCACCAATGCTCTCATCTCACGAGTTCTCTCATGCTTGTTAGAACGAAATCTCCCTCCATGCCCTTTTCACCAAGGTTTTCCATTACAGGTATTTCTTATAACTCTCACTCATCCTAGCCATAAGCTATACGGGCTGCTATAAGACATGATCAAGCTATAAAACTTGTGTGCAGCTAAGGACACAACAAGTAAAGCAAACAGACAAACTTCAGAATGGGAGAAGATATTTGCATGCTGTGAAGCTGACATAGGGCCAATAACTAGAATCTAAAGGAACTCAAACTAATCAACAAGAAAAGAGCAAACAGCCCATTTATAAGTGGGTAAGGGACTTGGACAGAAAATTCTCTGAAGATGACAGATAAATGGCCAAGAAACACATGAAAAAAATGCCTATTGTCCCTAACCATCAGGCAAACACAATTCAAAAACCACTCTGAGATATCACCTAACCCCAGTAAGAACAGCCCTTATCACAAAATCCCAAAGCTGCAGATGATGGCATGTATGTGGAGAGAGGGAACACTTTTACACTGTTGCTGGGATTGCAAACTCATACAACCTCTCTGGAAGAATGTACAGAGAATTCTCAAAGTGCTAAAAGTAGACCTTCCAGTTAATCTTATAATCCCATTACTAGGTCTGTACTCAGAAGAAAAAAAAATCATTTTGCCATAAGGACATTTGCACTAGAATGTTTATTGCAGCTCATTTCACAATTGCCAAGATTGAGATCAAACCAGGTGCCTATTTACACATGAATGGATTAGTAAAGTGTGGTATATGCATACCATGGAATACTATTCAGCCATAAAAATATGGAGACTTTTCATCTTTTGTATTTGCCTGGATGGAGTTGAAACACATTCTTCTTAGAATGGAGCAAATATTCAATGAACTCAATACTAATATGAAGTTAATAGATAAACAACAATACATCCATGTGATAGAACAACACAATTATATTCAAATGGGGGGAAGGGGATGGAGGAAAGGATAAAGGGGAGGAGGGCGGGGGATTGGTAAACTCTCACCTAATGTGCACAATCCATGGGCATATAGCACGCCCCCTGGGTGAAGGGCTCAACTACAATTTGAACTATACCTTAGGAGTGTAAACAATGTAGCCTTATCATTTATACCCTCATATTAATCAGCAAAGCAAATATTTTTTTAAAATCTTTATATTATAAAAAAGTGAAGATGTTCATTAAACTTTTTTGTTATAATGGGAGGAGGGAGGGCATCTGGCGGGATCTCCTCTAATGTACACATTGCAAGGGTATTATTCAGCATGCACCCTGGGAGAGGGACTTTCCTAGAACTTGAACTTTACCTTGGAAGTAAGAATGAGTTAACCTAAAAATTTGTTCCCTCATATTAACTTCAAAATATTAATTATTGAGGAATAAAGTGGAATATTATTCTGCTACAAAATACTATTAATTTCTTATAGATATGGAAATATATTCATGATATTTAGTTGCATGTATAATATATATGTATATGTATTGTATGTATGTATATATATACAGGTAGACACATATACATAGAGAAAGGAAAAAAATAGAAAATGTTTACATTGCCTTTCCCCTGGTAGTGAATTATGGACGGGTTTTAACTCATATTGGTTTATTTTCCTTTATTTTCCAGGGTCAATAAATATTGTTTCTGTATTTTAACAACAACAAAAAGCTTTTGTTTGACCTAATACTTTTTGTT